ATGGGAAGCAGGAAATAACGTATGATTGCTGAGTCTTTCTTGCACACATTAAGAAAATATCTGCTAAAGATAAATTTGCCATTTCAACTGATGAAAGTAAATTATTTCACGCCAACTTCTTCTCATCTTCGTCTGACAGGTCGCTGATTTCTACATCATCATATCCTTTCTTTTTTGCTGGCGTTTTGGCTTTGTCAGTCTCTTTGGCTAATTCTTCGATGTTCATTGCTATATGGGAAGTAAAAAACTCATACAATGATTACATCTACACAAGTAAGCGTCAATTGAAGATTGTTCAATCAATACCTTCTTGTAGTTTGACCAGTGCGAGAACTTGGACATACTATTACACCTAGCACCAAAGAAATGAACCTTACCATTCAGGAACATTTCTCACTGATTAATTGCTAGTGAAGTTTTCGTGTCAACACCGCTCATAACTTCTGTAGGAAAAGAATAACTTCAAGCAAATGTGCGTCTCAACATATTAATCCCTCGCAAAAAGTCGCATTATTGTAATTCAAATAAATATTTTTTTTTCGAAAAGGGAAAAAAGTTCGTTGAGACAAGTCTCAAGGATCTTATATTAGCGTACTAGTATAGGTTACAGTCATATATACCGTAAGAAGTCAGCATCGTTAATTTGTTTGATATGCTAATCAAGGAAAAAATTATTCAATTGTCACAGTAACGCGCTAGAGAGATACGACAGGATACTGTAGTAAATCTATATTGCAGATCCGTCTCGTTCAACCCAAAAGGATTATTTGAGCACGACAACCATATTTATTAATTCTACTACGAGCATATAAATCGCTTAACTATATCGTTGAGATAGAGGGGTTGGAAAAGAAGACCCATGAATGTTCAAGAGCTGGTCTTTAATCAGACCTTTCAGCCGTTCTCTCGATCCAAAATTTATCGTAGGTTACTTTTTTTATTACTCTCTTCAGACCCAGAAGAAAAAACTCTTTTCAAGAGTTACAAAAGGTGGATTTTAGAGTTTATAATCGTAGTCATGTACTTTCAATAGCACGGCAAAACATATCAGCTAGGTACAGGTTTCAAACGCACGCACGAAAGTTTGAGAAAGAACACCCACATGCTGGTCTAGGTTTTGGAAAAGCGATAATTTTCTCTTCGCGGTCTAAAGAAAGACTATAAGACAACTAGGAGTTTCCATAAGCTTGATTGCGGGAAGGTTTCGATAAGTAGCTAGAACTCTCTTCTCAAACTATTCATGGGCCTTGTTTAGCGAATAAACGTAGCTCCTCTCGCTGAGGATAACTTGAT